ATTTACATATGGATAAATGCCCATAGAGATGGCATTCATTTTGAGTTGGTTTCTATTACAACAATGACATTGGAATTACGGTTCTGGTACATTGAAATATTTAACATCTAGATAAATGATATTTCTTAACGAAGGATCCAGCAGTGATGCCTTACATCTTGGAGTTTCTGGTGCAGTTGGCGACAGAGACCTCGCCAAAGACCACTCCCTTGCGGTGGTCTTCTGCAGAATTGACGTTGGATTGCTTGGCGAGGGGCTTGGCGGCGGACCTGCCGATCATGGTCATCTGGTGGTGCTGGTGGAAGGTGGAGTTTCTGTGGGTGGTGGACATGGTCTCGGTCATGGTGTTGTACTCGGAAGCTCGGGAGGTGCCGTCGTGCAGGGGTTGTTGCATGGAGGGGAAGCAAATGCACAATTTTTGCGCAATCCAATTGCAGAAGGGAAGCCTTCTGGGAAGAAATACGAAAATGCATTGTCATCAAAGAAGCACCCTCAATAGATGAACAACTACTGCTCAATGAACCACTCTATAAGGAGAAAAGCTCAAGATGTTGAAGCTTTTAAGAAAATTATAATAGTAAAAGCTTTAATGGTAAATGAATACATCTCAAAATGACATTTGCATGCAAGAAAATCTATGGACATTGCACCATTAAATTTTAGTTCGTTGAATAGGATGCGGCCAAAGAAAATTAAAATTACATTTTAAAATTAATTCATTATAATTTTATTAAATAATTGAACAAAAGTAGTCATCGTCAAGTACCAAAGTGATTTTATTTGATTATCTCTGTGATCTATGCATGTATCACATCTATAGTATGCATATCTATGTATGTATCACATTTATGTATGTATCCCATTTATATATGTATCACATCTATGTATGTATCACATCTATAGTATGTATATCTATGTATGTATCACATCTATAGTATGCATCACATCTATAGTATGTATATCTATGTATGTATCACATCTATGTATGTATCACATCTATGTATGTATCACATCTATAGTATGTATATCTATGTATGTATCACATCTATAGTATGTATATCTATGTATGCATCACATCTATAGTATGTATTTCTATGTATGTATCACATCTATAGTATATATATCTATGTATGTATCACATCTATGTATGTAATATTAAAATCTATCTCTTTAAACGGAATAAAATACTCCTGAATTTAAGGCAATTTTAAAATGTTCTTATTTAATTTTATATTAGAAAATATTGATTTTGAAGTGATAAGTTTTGATTCTTTTATTTTTATGTAGTAAAATAGTTTTGTTTTAAAAACTTTATACAAAATAAAAACAATATTAATAATTTATGTAATATATATATAAATACATATATACTGAAAGATAAGCAAAACAAAATACTTTGACGAATTGATTATTGAAAAGACTTAAGAAGTAGATGATAATTGCATTTATCATCTACTTCTTAAATTGCATTTAAGTTTCTTTTCTCTTTTAATCTGTGAAGAATATTTAGGTTCACTTGTGTAGCCTTAGCATGATATTAAAGAAAATTATTAAATTTTGAATGGAACAATTAGCAAAATTGGTTAGATAATGGCTTAGAAGATTAAAAATACCTTCGAGGAATTCATCACAACGACTAAGAGGTCTATGCAATTCATCTTATTATCTAAAGGGGTTTGTAGGATTCATCTTATTGGCAAAAGGGATACATGGAATTCATTTTAGTGTCGAAAAGGCTTCGTGGAACTCATCACAACGGCTAGGAGGTCTATTTATAGTAATTCATTTTATTGTCTAAAAGGTACCTGCAGGATTCATCTTACTGGCAAAAGGGGTCCATGGAACTCATCTTAATGTCTAAAGAAGTCCATGGAATTTATTACTGAATCAGATCAGTGAAATTAATTTTATTGCAAAAATAGTTCATGATGAAAACGTTGGAAAACATTATAATATTTAGATTTTGAGAATCAAAATATATTTTCAGGAACAGTTAACGAAAATTAATTATATATTACCATGCAGATAAACATCAGCTTAAAAGCAAATATGTAAATTTTAAGTAAATAAAAGTTGAATCCTGTATTTAATAAAAACACAAGCAATAAAATGAACGTTCTTAAATAAATGTTGCATTAGCATTAGTTTTTGATGTATAAACAAGCTAATAATTTACTAAAATTCTATTAATTTTCTTATAAGAGTATGAAATGAATACTTAGTTGCGTCGATAATAAGAGAGACATTGCAGGCCTAATAGAGTACAGGGTTAGCAGGAGGATCGAATCATTCGAGCGTCCCTGAGAAAAATTGATTTGAACCAGCTGCTACTATCCGATCCGGTAAGAAGAATTTTCTCGTGCAGGATTAGGATATTATGTTTGATCCCAGATGCTATTGTTTTTTTTGTTTTTGTTTTTGTAATGGTTTAGAAAATAAAGTTAAGAGCAATGAAAGCTTGAAATGAATACATAATAAATAAAAGACCAAAATTACATCAAACATGTGAAAACAACATGTTTTGTTTAATACTTTAATAATTAGTGTGTATAATTTGTTAGATTTTTATTTATATTAGAATTTAATTTAGATTTTATTTATCCTTCACCCTTCACTGTTTTAAATATTTTGATCTGAAAATCTCACAACAAATGAAATGTTATCTCATTTATTTTTTAAACGAAAAAATGTATTTAAAGTAACATGAAAAAAATTCAGAGTATTTATGTTTAGTTTGAAAATTATTCCATTAAAATGTATGTATTTATAAATGCCAAATATATGTGTATAATCAATTTAAGATGTGGTTTTTTTTTGGAATAAATAAAGAACTCTTAACATAAAAAAATCATTAATGTAAATCGAGTTTGTTTTCAATGAATTGGAGATAATTTTATATTAGAAATAAATAGCCATTAAAAAAAATGTCAGGTATTTACTATGTATTCCAAAGTTTTTGTTAAATTTATATAAAAAAAATACATAAATATGTACTGTTTAAATGTTTAAATAATAATTCAATGAAATAGAATTTAACAGAAAAAAACAAGCGTGCCAAGATTGTAAGATACCATAAGCTAAAAATATAAACTGTGCATAAATATTATCTTAGATCATGTGTGATTATGTACCAGGAGTTATGTATTTTTTGGGCTAACATAAGCTTGTAAGATACCATAAGATAAAAAGATAAACATTACATAAATATTATCTTAGAGCATATATGAGGAGCTATATATTCTTTAGGCTAATATAAGCTTGTAAGATACCATAAGTTTATTAAGATAAAAGGTAGAAGTTTTATGTCTAGGGAAATATTTTTAGTATTGGCGGCATATAATATGTACTTTTATAAATAACAATAACACTATTAAAAATATTATTATTAATAATTAATAAAATCATTATTAATAATATTAAAAAAAACATTAAGTCAGAAATATTTTTACAGGGTCGTACTTTTTATCCTATGTACTATCTTAATTTGGAAATTTTTTTTGATCAGAACTACCTTTTTTTCTTTCTAAGTTATTGGAAAACATTTTATTTTTTAGATATTCAAATTAAACCATTTAATCGGAATGATAAACCTTAAAATGTTTGAGTTAAGGATGGATTAAATGATACAGAGTAAAATTCACCAGGATCTCTCTCTCTCTCTCTCTCTCTATATATATATATACTACTGACCATTAAAATTGCTATATCGGGAAGAAATACATATAAAAAATGATATTTATAGGACAAATATATTATACTGGAAATAACGAGTGATTCAATTTTGAAGAAATTTGGGTGCGTAAATCCTGAGAAATCTGTACCCAGAACAACTCCCGCTGTCAGTAATAACAGCACTTATATGCCTGGGCATTGAGTCGAACAGAGATTGGATGACATGTACAGGTACAGATGCCCATGCAGTTTCAACACGATGCCACAGCTCATCAATCGTAGTGATTGCCGTATGGACACTCGACATCATGGACCAGAGGTTTTCTATTGGAGAGAGATATGGTGAATGTGCATGCCAGGGCAATAGCCGAACATTTTCCGTATCAAGGATGGTCCGAACAATACCGACAACATGCGGTCGTGCGTTATCCTGCTGAAACGTAGGATATATATATATATGTACGAGTGTGTGTGTGTGTGTGTGTGTGTGTGTGTGTGTGTGTGTATGCGTACATTCCAATACAATTTGGAAAGAACAGTGAAATCCAATTCATTATCTAACATTATATAATCTGAGTATTATGATTTTTCGTTAAATGAACGTGTTCAATCAATACTAACATCTTAGCATAACGATACAAAGCCTTAATGGGTTGGGGGGAGGGAAGGAGAGAAAGTCTCTTGCCTGAAGTTTCGGCAGATGTGCGTGGAGAAGAGGCAGTAGATCATGGGGTTGGCGGCGCTGTTGAGGGGAGCCAAGCTCTGGATGAACGTCGACACGGCGAAGGAGGTCTGGCTCTCCGGGATCTGGCCGTACACCTGGAGCAGGTCGTACACGAAGTAGGGGCTCCAGCACAGGATGAAGACTGCAAAGAAACACTGAGATTATTACAAGACGTACAAGACTATTAATCTAAATAAATAAAAGTCATTGCTTTTTGCTGGGCATTGGTGGGCCATGAGTTTCAGTTAAGTATGCCCTCCCACCATGTGGGTGGATAGGGCATTGCATTCCTTGAGTGTTTTTACGGGTAACTGCCACGAAATTGCTTGTCGTAAGGGAGAAAAGACGAACAATTCTCCCAGGCAACCTATTACTATACCAGATCACATCACTGTGCCTACAGCTGAGTTGTCCCTATACAGTTTGGAAATGATGTGGGTGTGAAGCCTTTACTGGGTTCTGTGACGTTCTACAGTCATATGAGACCGGATCCTACGGCTTCAAATAGATTCTGAACCACTACAAACATCCATGGCATAGCCGAGACTCAAACCCGAAACCTGTGGCACCGAGCGGCAGAGCGCTAGACACTCGTCCCCCAATGACACGCCGTGTTCTCAGGTTGTCGCCTTCCCAAATACTGACCGCGCCCGATGATGCTTGACTTCGGTGATCGAACGAAGGCCGGTATATTCAGCATGGTACGCCGTTGGTCACCAGGCAGCCTGAATATCGATACGACATGATTTTACATGCGCTGTTATAATAATCATTGAGTTTCCATATCTCCTTGCTTCTGCAAGAAGTGACTGCAATGGTGGTCACCAGCGAATTCAAACTTGGGCCCTTCTGCGCTCTACAACGAATCGGGTGGCATACTTATTTGTAATCAATTTATTTACATTTGGTTATTTGTGTATGGATTCACTCTGTAGAATTGTTTTCCTAAAAAGTAAAGTTTTACTGAAGTGTTAACAACTTAAAAGACATATACAAATGAAACAAACAGTAAATTGCTGTTTGTTCGATAAATTGATAATAAAACAGTGTTTGAATCTGCCGGAACTTCATAGTCACTGATTTCAGAAACGAAAATATTCGATAGCAGTTGAGACAACTTGTGTAAACTTCTCGCATCGACAGCCAGACTGCCTGATGAGAATTCTTCGCGTTTTCTTCCACACTGTATGCAAATGTGGGCCTATTACCGCTGAATGTCCTCTGGGAGGGCAATACTATCCTGTCATTGTACTAGACATGTAGATGAAAGTCTAACTCAAGAACCACCGATGTTAAAAAAACTTAATAACAAAAAATAATAACAAAACATAAATAAATAAATAAATAAATATATCGATGAAACAAAACCGTTAAATCCAAAATATGAAAGAAAATTAAAACATTAAATAAATAACTACTTTAAAATCATAAAAACACGAAAAAACAAATTTAAAAAAATAAGTTAATGAAAAAACAAATTTAAACGTAACGAAGTTAAACGTAACATGAAAAAGCAAATTTAAAAATAAGTTGATAAATACAAAATAAAAGCATTACAAACAGGGCATAAAAAAATTGAAACAGACGAAAACCCAAACAATAGGCCAATAAATAACAGCCATCACAGAAAGTGCCGTTATAGAATTCTTGGGCTTATGACCTAGGAGCTAATGTCTCGCATTTGTAAGCAACAACAGCCGCAATATCGAGAGCAGAGAGCATCAACTTAACATTCTTTCTTCCACATAATGCTTACATAAAGTATTCATTTTAATATTGCTACGGAGATGTCATCATCTATGTCAAGCAGAGATGTAGCAAGTCCTACATTCTGTTATGTGTGCAAAGCCGATTAAGACATGGAGCCATTCTGGGATTTATGTATTAAGGAGAGAGTGAGACAGAAAATATAAAATATCTTTTGGATCCACTGGCGGTGCTAGATGGCGCTGTAAGAAACACAAAGAAAGGGAATTCAGCCGCCAGTGTTATTTTGAATCAAAATTACAATGTATTCGGCATGAGTTGCACATTAAACCAACTATAATGTTCAATATGTTGATTGTTTCGGTTTTTTAACGAAAAAGATGACTTCCAAATCATTCAACAGTTGTGACACTGCTAGTGGAAAGCCCATCCACCCCGGCAAGTTCATACCAAATTTGATGGGAAAAAACAGTGGAACTTTTTTTGATGCCATTCCGTTCCCCCCTTCTACAAGTATCTTCAGTTCAAATTTGAACTCATTGTAACGAGTGGTTCTTTTTTTACAGGATTTTGAAAGTGGAACTTGAATTATAATGGCACTGTATAACAATGAATCAAAGTCGTTAAATTCAAAATATGAACGAAAATTAAAACATTAAATAAATAACTTTAAATCCGTAACATGAAAATACAAATTTAAAAAATAAGTTAGTGCATACAAAATAAAAGTATTACAAATATGGCATATAAAAACTACAAGTAAAACAGATAAAAACCAAACAATAGACCAATAAATAACAGCCATCATAGAAAGTGCCATTATAGAATTCTTGGGCTTATGACCTAAGAGCTAATGTCACGTATTTGTAAACAACAACAGACGCTAAGAGCTCTAACTTGACTTTCTTTCTTCCACATAATGCTTACATAAAGTATTCATTTTATTATTGCTACGGAGATGCAATCATCTATGTCAAGCAGAGATGTAGGAAGTCCCAGATTCCGTTATGTTCGCGAAGCAGATTGAGACATGGAGCCATTCTGGTATTTATGTATTAAGGAGACAGTGAGACAGAAAATATAAGTATCTTTTGGATACAGCCTTTTAAATGTTTAAGTGAAAGAGCTTTGCTGCTTCGTTTCAGACGTTAATACTATCACTTGGCATTCAAGTCTGTTGCCAAGTTATTCATTTGAATGGCTAAATCTTTAAGCGCTTTTCAACATTCCAGAATATCAGTATTTATAAACAAAGTATACGTTTAACAAAATTAAAAGGTTATTTTTTAAATAAATATGGTAATTAATTAACCAATCAAAAATTACTATTTTAATTGACAACGGATGAATAATATTTTTTTTTTTAAGAAGATTGACCTAAGATCGAATGTCGCGCATTTGTGGAGGAACGTCGAACACAAAGTCCACCGATGTTAAAAAAACTATCTTCAGTTTCAACATACATGATAACAATTAAATAAATAAATGAGTGAACGAAAGCCGTTAAATTCAAAATAAGAAAGAAAACTAAAAAATTAAATAGATAACTACATTAAATCTTTAACGTGAAAAAACAAATTTAAAAAATAAGTTAATGAATACAGAGTAAAATCATTACAAATATGGTATATAAAAACTAAAAAAAACAGATAGAAACCAAACAATAGACCAATAAATAACATCCATCCATCACTTGGCATTCAAGTCTGTTGCCAAGTTATTCATTTGAATGGCTAAATCTTTAAGTGCTTTTCAACATTCCAGAATATCAGTATTTGTAAATAAAGTATATGTTTAACAAAATTAATAAGTTTACTTTTTAAATAAAAAGCGGTAATTCATTTTAAAAAGTCAAAAATTACACTTATAAATGACAATGGATGAATAATAAATTTTTTTCTTTTTAAGAAGAGCGAAATATTTTTAACAAATTTTAATTAGATAACATAACTTTTTTGATAAGCCCGACTCCGTGACACACAATAATTGAAAAAAATTAAATGAATAAATTTCAGATTTACATTTCAGCTAATGCTTTCTACATTTTTTTACTGAATAAGAACTTTAAAAAATAGAAAATTAATTAATAAATCCGAGTAACACAACAGCTACAAAAGTACTTTGTCTAAAAAGTAAGACTAATTTTCAATTTAAAATTCTCGGGGCTCATGGAATTTCATTTTTTTCTTTTTTAGGTTGCTGGCACTGTCCTTTACATCTTTGTGAAATTTGACTTGCTGGTTATTCCCTAAACTCAAAAGAACACTCCGAGGACATCTTTTTGAGTCGATTGAAGAAATTCAACATAAATCGGTGCACGCTTTGAAGACCATCCCTGCCGATGACTTTTTAGCATGCATTGAGGATTGGAAAAAAAGTTGGCTTAAGTGCATTGTGTCGGAGAGGATTACTTTGAAGGCGATGAAATAAATTTGGAAGCATAAATAAAGAATGTTTGAAAAAAAATAATTTGTCTCACTTTTTGGGCACAGTAGTATAAAAACTGAAACAGATAAAAAAAACAATAGACCATTAAATAACAGCCATCGCAGAAAGTGACGATATAGAATTTTGGGCTTATGACCTAAGAGCTAATGTCACGCATTTGTAAACAACAATATCGCAGCCGCAATATCGAGAACAGAGAGCGCTAACTTAACTTTCTTTCTTCCACATAATGCTTACATAAAGTATTCATTTTAATATTGCTACGGAGCTGCCATCATCTATGTCAAGCAGAGGACCCAGATTCTGTTATGTTCGCGAAGCAGATTAAGACATGGTGCCATTCTGGGATTTATGCATTAAGGAGAGAGTGAGACAGAAAATATAAGTATCAAATGTTTAAGTGAAACAGTTTTGCTGCTTCGTTTCAGACGGTAATATCACTTGGCGTTCAAGTCTGTTGCCAAGTTATTCAACAACATTTCAAATCTTTCAGCACTTTTAAACATTCCAGAATATCAGTATTTATAAACAAAGTGTATGTTTAACAAAATTAAAAGGTTATTTAATTAAATAAAAGAGATAATTATTGAACTAGTCAAAAATTACACTTTTAAATGACAATGGATGAATAATATATATATTTTTTAAGAAGATTGGCCTAAGAGCTAAAGTCGCGCATTTGTGGAGGAAAGTCAAACACAAGGTCCACCGATGTTCAAAAAACTATCTTCAGTTTCAAAATACATAATAACAGTAAATAAATAAATATATCGGTGAATCAAAGCAATTAAATCCAAAATATGAAAGAAAACTAAAACATGAAATAAATAACTATTTTAAGTCTTTAAAGTGAAAAAACCAATTTAAAAATAAGTTAATGAATACAAAAAAAAAAAAAGCATTACAAATATGGCATATAAAAACTACAAGTAAAACAGATAAAAACCAAACAATAGACCAATAAATAACAGCCATCGCAGAAAGTGCCGTTATAGAATTCTTGGGCTTATGACCTAAGAGCTAATGCCATGCATTTGTAAACGGCTACAGCCGCAATATCGAGAACAGAGAGCATCAATTTAACTTAACTTTCTTTCTTCCACATAATGCTTACATAAAGTATTCATTTTAATATTGCTACGGAGCTGCCATCATCTATGCCAAGCGGAGGACCCAGATTCTGTTATGTTCGCGAAGCAGATTAAGACATGGAGCCATTTTGGGATTTATGTATTAAGGAGAGAGTGAGACAGAAAATATAAGTATCTTTTGGATCCAGCCTTTTAAATGTTTAAGTGAAAGAGTTTTGCTGCTTCGTTTCAGACGGTGATATCACTTGGCATCCAAGTCTGTTGCCAAGTTATTCAGCAACAATTCAAATCTTTAAGCGCTTTTCAACGTTTCAGAATATCAATGTTTATAAACAAAGTATACGTTTAACAAAATTAAAAGGATATTTTTTTAAATAAAAAAATGGTAATTAATCAATTAGTCAAAAATTACACTTTTAAATGACAATGGATGAATAATATTTTTTCAATTCCTACTAT